TTTGATTTCAAAGAATTTCAGGTTTAGCTTTGCTTTTATCTTTAGTTGGCAAATACAATTATGCACATATATGTACAGACAATGTAATATGCTACTGCTTATTTACTTTAATAATTAAATAAAATGGATGATTGTATGTATGACTGTGTGACTTCCTCACGTGTATGAGTGTGGATAGAAAATTTGTTGGTTTATATTTGAATCAATCATAAGGAAATATCTTTTTCCTAGATTAAAGCATATAAACAGAAATGGATCCCTGTTAGTATTGAATACTATATGTAATTTAATAAATATACTACTTTTCTCCTTGAAAACTGTGAGGATATTTAAAAACACAACAGTTTTAAAGACATTAATAATAGAACTTTATGTGCAAATTTTCCTCTGAATGTACAGAGCAAGTTTATATTAACTGTACAACAAGTAGAATGGCGAAACAACCCTGATTGGATTCTGGTAAGGCTACTTACTGAGCTCTTTCATGAGAAATTTACCACTGTGATTCATTTACCTCCAATTATCTTCTAAATAGTCAATCATCATATCCACACTTGGGTTCTAATTGTGTGTGTGATAAAAAGAAACAAGCGTTCAGCTCATAAATGGTGCTGGACTGAATGTGAAGATGGTCATTGGCTGAGTCGTTTCCCTAAGGACCTCCGTGCTCTCTGTGCAGGCTCACACCCAACAACTACCTGAACTACCTGGCCTTCACTTTTGCCATAGAAGAGATCAACAGGACTCCTCATCTCTTACCTAACATTTCTCTGGGCTATGAGTTCCATAATTTCATTTGCAGTCATTGGAGGATACTAGAGAATTCCTTCATTTTGCTCTCAGGACAACACGAGATTCCTAATTACATCTGCAAGAAAGAAGGCAAGTGTGCAGCAGTACTGACAGAAACGCCATGGGGAGCCTCATCTCAGATCGGACCACTGCTGGAGCTCTACAGATTTCCACAGGTGAGGGTTGATGGGACAGGAAATGAGGGACGCACATCCAGTGTGCTTCACCTATCTGGAACATGAGGGGTTACAAGTGAGGCTGGGATGAACATGTTTCAAAGTGCACAATGAGCCAGAGTCTTCACACAGACATGTAGTAAGTTACACATAATTTAATTTCTTTTCTATTTTTGGATTAAAGAGGAAAGAAATATGTTTCTGGGATATCTGAGTGCTTGCATTCATTAAAAAATATTCTGAGGGTGCTGAGACACATGGGAAGAGCATGTATATCTCCTTCTCCAACTTGGAGATGTCACTCAGCACACTTAGGACTACTACAGTACTTCCTGTAAACACTCATTGTATTACACAGTTTTCTTTTTCTTTAAGGTTACCTTTGGCTCATTTCCTTCCACCCTCATGGACAGTAGTCATTATCCTTCGCTCCACCAGGTGGCCCCAGAGGACACATATCTGGCCCTTGCCATGGTATCCTTAATGCGTCATTTCCACTGGACATGGGTGGGCCTGCTCATCACAGAAGGTCATAATGGTCTTCAGTTTCTCTCAGACATAAGAACTGAGATGTACAGAAACAGAGTCTGTGTAGCCTTTGTGAAAATGATGTCCAGTGCGGCTGTGTCTCATATTTCAATCATAAAGCAACATGACATCCTGAGTGCAGATACGTTATCTGCCAATGTGGTGGTCATTTACTATGACCCTGATAGTCCAAATGATGTAAACTACAACATAGCACAAAACTTTGTGACATGGAAAGTCTGGGTGACAAACTCACAATGGCATGCTGATCTGACTGGGAGAGATTTCCTACTTGATCCATTCCATGGGATTCTTGTTTTTTCACACCACCATGAAGAAATTTCAGGTTTCAGAAATTTTGTCCAGGAAGCTACCCCTTTCAAATACCCAGAGGACACTTACCTCACTATGTATTGGTCCAAGAATTTTGATTGCTCATTCTCTGAGTCTGACTGTGCCTTGGAGAACTGTACACCTAATGCCTCTGTGGCTTGGTTACCACCAAATCGTTTTGACACAGCCATGAGTGATAGAAGCTACAATGTTTACAATGCTGTGTATGCTGTGGCTCTTGCCCTCCATGTGATGCTTTTTGAAGAGGTGCAAATGACACCACTTAATAACAGAGAAGTGATGATATTTTCTCCCTGGCAGGTAATGAGTGTGTCTTCCCTTGGATGGCAGGCAGTGTCATCACAGTGCCATTCTCAAGTTATTGTATGTGCTTCACCTAATTGTGTCAAGTCTATTTCTTCAAGTCACTAGAATTTATGCACCACACTTACTGCTAAGGAGTGAGTTCTTGAGATGAGTTGAAAAGACCCTCAATCAAGGAGCCACTGGCAAGGAGGAAAGACAAGGCAGTAAGCTCCTTGCTCTGCCTATGGGTTATCAATGCCTTACCCACATCAACATGCTCCATTTTTGTCTTCAAGGACAATAGTAAAACCTATATTCACTTATAAAACTAAATGATGTCAATCCTAAGAGTGCACAGGTTTAAACGTCATTTCCTGCTACAAAATCTTGATGAACTCATTGTGTTCATAGATGCCACGTGAATAGCCATATAAACAATGGAAGTTGTAGGCTTTAGGAGCTTTTTTTCCCATATTAAAGTTTTTCCCTAACACAGCTACAAACCTTTTTCAGATGGGCTTGCATAGAATATGCTTTTTTGGAAACTGATAGACATTTCTTGAGCATGGGAACATGTTAGTCCTGAGACATCCATGAGCTCCAATTTAATAGATTCCAGTGCTAACTCTGTTTTAGGTAAATTGGATTAAACATGCTTAGGATCTTTCCCTCATGTGTATTTTGTTTCTTTCTCCCGGAGCCCTGTTCTCATAGGATAATGTGTCTCTTTTAGCTAAATCCTTTTCTGAAGAGCATCCAATTTACCAATCCTGATGGGGATTACATGAATTTAGATGACAGATGGAAAATGGATTCAGAGTATGACATCCTCAATTTTTGGAATTTCCCAGAAGGCCTTAGACTTAAGGTTAAAGTCGGCACATTTTCTTCTCATGCTCCACATGGCCATAAAATGACTTTATCTGAGGATATGATAGAGTGGGCCACAGGAGTGACAGAGGTATGTTGTACCTAATCACGGCACACTTACTTAACCACAAGTAAGCTAAACACTGACATAGACTTTTTTTAAAGGCAGTACAAATTAGAATTACAAAAAGAAAAAATTACAAGTGATAATTTCACTTAACAAAGTAATATGAATTTCACAGTGTGTGTTGTAATACATAGTTTGTCTTCCAAACAGTTATTCATATTATCAGATATCTGTATGAACAATTTGAATAAGAAAGAAAAAATGTATATGAATTTAAGAAGAGAAAAAGCACAAACAATTGAAAATGAAGACAAAACAAATATTGTCTGCTCCTTTCCATAGACCAGCAATGAGCAAATATGCACTGTCACAGGCTTTGTGCCACCAATTTTGCTTATACAATGGTCATATATGGAAATTGAATGACAAGAATGTTTTCCACTTGAAAAGAACATGTTTACAAGTTTCTGATGAGTGGGAAAGTAATGCATCTACTTAATTATAATTTTTAAATATATACTTCATATTATGGAATAAATTAGGTGTTCAATTGCATAGCTTTCTTGATGTATACATACAAATTGAGTTACTCACTCTTGGTCTTAAGAAACAAATGCTTAGTAAGTTACTACTGTATATTTCTTCTTTAGACTCCCCGCTCAGTCTGCAGTGAGAGCTGCAGCCCTGGATTTAGAAAAAGCCCTCAGGAGGGAAAGGCTGCCTGCTGTTTCGATTGCATCCCTTGTTCCGAAAATGAAGTCACCAATGACACAGGTAGGAGAATGATGTGAAGCCATTCTTCCTTTGTGTTCTATTCACTCCTTCCATCCAGTAAATTGAAAATATCTTGAAGAGGACACAGATGATAGAAGTCCTCCTTTGCATAGCAAATTAGTTGTTATACTGAATACTACTATCTTGTTGAAAAAGATCTTTTTTTCTTTGGAAATGTGCTTGAATTCATTTTCCTTTTATTTTATTCTTATTCGTATGACTTTTTTGTTTTGTTTCATTTTGGTTTGGTTCGGATTTTTTGCTTTGCTAGAATGAAACTAAAATGGGTTCTATCAATGGTCTGTCTCCAGCTATTTTTATTTTTATTATGATACAAGACATCACCAATTTGCCTTAGACTGCCTCAAAAATTCAATAGACCTGGTTCAGCCCACTAATTATCTGGAATAACACTACACTTCACCAAACCTGACTACATTGATTCATTTTTCTTGTCCCATTAAAAGAATTATTGTCTCCAGACAAGCCTTATTTTACTACCGCACAGCTTCTGTGTTCCATATCTACTGTGAAGTTTAACACAGAGTAGTGTTAAAGCCAATTTTTTACAACTTTTGGAACCACAGCAAGATTACAGTGAAGATAAGGGCAGGCAATTTCATTCTCCTGGGGATGATGCTATTTTTCACACAAAGCAGGTGCTCAGAAACATTTAGTTTGATTGGAGATAGCGACATTGATATACAACATACTTAGAACATAGCGCAATCTAATCTTAGGTTTAATCGTGTTCTCCTGGAATGTACAGATGAGTGGGGAGATAGCCTACAGCATGGATTAGAGTCTGTACCACAAAACTGCAAGGATGATATGAATAATAATAATAAGGGATTGAACAAGAGATAGTATCTACATTTCCAGAGTGTTTCATAGGCATTTTTACAGAGGTGATACTATCAGAAAAAAATAAGGTACATCAATTCTTTTAGGTTTATTTTCAGTAGCCAAAATGTCATAGTCACCATTCAAGGAACATTCACAACTCATGGAATATTCAAGCATCCTAAAGAAAAATGGCCATGTTGTCAAAACAGACATAATGAACATGAGGACAGAAACACATTCTATAAATATTGTAAAATCTAATGTTCAAGAATGTTGCACACCATAAGTACCAGTTTGGACATATTTAACTTTCTCATAAATCATGACAAAGTACAATCATCTTTCCACTGAATATTTCTTAATTTGTTTTTTGTGGCTGATATAAATTTTAACTTGAAAATACATGTAGTATAAATTTAAATGAGCTCTGAAGTACAATGAGACTGACTGTGTATTGAGTTATTCTCTATATTCCATTATTTAATTTTGTATCTAGAAAAAAATGGAAAAGTGAGATGTGGTGATGCATGCCTGGAACTCAGCACTGTGAGAAGCTGAGGCAATATGATCTTCAGTCAGAACACAGCTGTGGAAACAAAATGATTACAGAGACCCTGTCTCAAAATAGTTACACTCAAAAGGGTTGGGATTTTATGTCATTGTTAATTATTTTTATGCGTTTTTTTTCTGTACTTTTTAGGGAAGGGTCTAGAGGGTGTTCAGGGTCTCACCTCTAGATCAGGCTCATACGGATTTGCCTGTTTACAACCTCCCAATAGCTGGGATTACAGGTCTGCACCAACACAACCACTCTGAACCGCCATCTCATATCGCCCCGGGGAAGGGGCTGGAAAAACAGGCCAGGGAATTGAAGCCCCAGCCCCTGCACCTGCTTGCAGGTGCTTTAATCTAATGAGTTATTTGGCTGGCCCCGTCAGTATAAATTATGAGTTCAGTCCCATCTAAAGAAAAAGAAATATGAAAGAACAAGAAAAAATTAATAAGTGAAATTTTAGTTCAAGCAAGTCCAAAGAACCTTTGAGGATGGGTCTGTAAAAATAATGAATCAATAAACATAGGCAAGTGAAAGTTTTAATTTCTGCCAGATATGGAGCAGTGTGGGAAGTGTCCAGATCATCATTATGCAAACGCTCGGCAAAACCACTGCCTAAAAAAAGCTGTGAATTTTCTGGCTTATGAGGATCCTCTAGGGAAGGCTCTGGCTGGCACTGCCCTGAGTCTCACTATTCTCACAGTTGCTGTTCTTGGGCTGTTTGTGAAGCACAGAGACACTCCCATCGTGAAGGCCAACAACAGGACTCTCAGCTACACCCTGCTCATCTCCCTCACCTGCTGTTTCCTCTGCTCCTTGCTCTTCATTGGCCGTCCCAACACAGCCACCTGCATCCTGCAGCAGACCACGTTTGGAGTTGTGTTCACTGTGGCTGTTTCCACTGTCTTGGCCAAAACTATTACTGTGGTGCTGGCCTTTAAGGTCACTGCTCCAGGCAGGAGGATGAGGCAGTTGCTGGTGTCAGGGGCTCCAAACTTCATCATCCCCATTTGCTCCCTGATCCAACTCACTCTCTGTGGAGCCTGGATGGTGACAGATCCACCCTACATTGACACAGATGCTCACTCTGAGCATGGTCACATCATCATCGTGTGCAACAAGGGCTCCCTCACTGCCTTCTACTGTGTCCTGGGATACTTGGGCTCCCTGGCCCTGGTGAGCTTCACTGTGGCTTTCCTGGCCAGGAACCTGCCTGACACATTCAATGAAGCCAAGTTCCTGACATTCAGCATGCTGGTGTTCTGCAGCGTGTGGGTCACCTTCCTGCCCGTGTACCACAGCAGCAAGGGGAAGGTAATGGTGACCATAGAGATCTTCTCCATCTTGGCTTCCAGTGCAGGGCTGCTGGGCTGCATCTTTGTCCCCAAGTGCTATGTTATTTTGTTAAGACCAGAGAGAAATTCTCTAACTGGAATTAGGGACAAAACACATTCTGAGAGAAAGAATTCTTCTTATCATTAGTGTGTTTCCTAATATACACAGAGGTCCTGAATTCAAAGCTGAACCATATGTGAAGTTAGGTATGCTGGTCCACTATAGGGCTCTTATTCTTCCTAAGTGATGCAACTTCTTTTGCTAAAGCAAACTGTTCCAGAGAGACTATTGTCCTCATCTTTTTCAGTTGAATTTTTTTTTCTGGATATTTTTCTATTTAAGTCAGAATTCATTTTGTTGCCTCTTTTATACCATCCAACTTATCTTTTGTTTGGCTTTCCCGATATATGTTCTCAATTTGAAAATATAATAAATTCCTTCCTGTATATCACTGTTTATCATTTCTTTAATATATTTTTGATCTTTTATTTTAAAGGAATGTCCTTTATTTATATCCTCTTTTTTGTTTCGTCAGAGATGAATGTTCCATTGCTGTTAGAGAAACTGTATTTGAAACTATCCTACTGATTTGATTTGAAACTGTCTCATTGTTATTTGTTTATCAATAAAATTATGGGAAATAAAGAAAGAAACTGATGGAAAAAATAAAAAAATAAAGAGAAAAGAATTTTAAAAAAATGGTGTAAGCACAGACTGATGGGAGATTCTAGTTGAAACTCTGAAGACCGGAATACTATTTCAGTTGGAAACAAAGAATTCTTTGGCAGTTGAAGTGGAGGCCATGTGTGTTATGCTTTGTCAGAAAATTTACCTACATTTTGCCCATGACTAGAGATGTTGTGATAAACTGAGATTAAATGTGGTGTACTAATGAATACAGTGAAGGGTATTTCAAAGAAACCCAGTGTTTAGGCTACAAAGTGGGTACTAGTGGCTGCTTTTGGCCAGATCTACAATAATCACCAGGAGCAAACAATCAGATGTGAAAACTTTACAGTTTCACCTGAACATACGTGGTGAAATAAGGGGTGTTAAAATAAAGAGCATAACCTACAACATATGAATGGAAATAGAATACCCATCTCTAACAAAAGTAAACAAAAATGGGGGATATAAATGAAGGACCATTTTTAGTGAAAAAACGTATATATCTGTATATACAAAATAGTTGGCATTGATATACAGCTACTTTCTTTTGTTCAATGAGAAGAAACTTTTGAACTAATAGTGTTTAGACAAGATATCATGTCTGCATCTTGTACTATGAGTAACTACTACAAAGACAACAATATGCAATGTATTAATTATTGTTAACTATCCTACTAACCTGTTTTGAAAAATAATAAGGTCTTGGCAATCTGATCCACAGCACTAAGATAAAACAGTAAAATAAAGAGCTTCTGTTATTAAAAAGAGAGAGAGAAAATGTATTTGGAGAAGTCTTCAAAGGACCTTTTCATACTTGATGTCAGTTCAAATATTGTAGGTACTTTCACTCAGTAAAATAGCCCAATATAATCCAACAGTCCATAATAATAGTGGGTTATCAGCAGAATTGGCAATTGTCAGAAGCTGTTGACTTAAACCTCTTATAGCTCAGCATATTAATATTGCATTACTTTTATTTATTTTTTTATTTATTTATGTGCGTGTGTGTGTGTGTGTGTGTGTGTGTGTGTGTGTGGCCAGCTCAGCCCACCAGGGTGCGGGGCTGGCTGGCATGTGGTGCTGGGGAATTAAACCGTGGTCCCTGGGCTTTGCTAAGCTTGTTCTAAGTAGGTGCTTTAGACCACTGAGCCATCTCACCAGCCCTTTATTACTTTTTATACATCGTGGTTATACTTTTCTGCTGTATAGTTAAGACCAAGTAAAGAAAGACCTTTATAACTAAAAATGTAAATTTTTGTAGTGAAAAAAAATGTATATACAAAATAGGACAGTTTTACAGCAACTTTTTCTCAGTTTGATAAGAATAAAGTTTTGTATTAATATTGTTTAAAAAAGATGTCATGTGTGCATCTTATCTTCTGAATAACCACTATGCAGATACCAATATGCAATGTGTTAGTTATTGTACCTGTCTTATTAACTTGTATTGAAACTTTTTATTGCTATTATATTTTCTCATTAAAATGAATAAAAATTAACAAAAATCACCATGAATGGGGAAATCCATTATAAAAATAAATAAATGAATGTACTGCTTTCAATGTACTGAATTTAGTACACTTTTGTAGATGTATTTATAATTGTGTTCTTGCATTTCTGTTTTGCATTTAGTTACATTATTTGTAAATGTATTGACTATACTTAGTATCTATCTTAAATGAAAAAAAGAAGAGCTCTCCTTTGTGTTTTTGAGTATACATATGTAAGAAAAAGAGTTGGATAAATGAATGGATTGAGAAAGTGGTTATAAACATGTGTCGATGGAAGCAGGATGGTGGGGGCAAATCAGTATTGAAGGCAAAAGTTTGAGTAGATCTCACGGATACATCAATGGAGCTCAACAGGAAAGGAGTGGGAGTAACACAAAATTTGGAGAGATAGAGAGTTTTATTTTTTGTTGCTGTCTTCAGATGTATCCAATATATTCCATCAAATATTCAACACATTTAAAAGACAAAACATAATGATGTCATTACCCCTGTGTGAAACATACTTATAGAAACATAACTGCCCCTCTTTGTGTTCCTCTGAACTCTGCAAACACCCTGCCCCTCATGTGAATGACTCACCTGCTAAAATACATTCTAAATTGCCTGGGCTTTTAGCTTCCTTTCCTGTGTCTCCATTTCCTGTTTCCATATGCTGGGGCTTCTGTGCCTGTCACCTTCAGTCCTTTCCAAATAGCTCCTGAAAACTGGTTCCAAATGTTTTCAAACCACAGGGGCAGGCACAGTGACAGCAATGCCTCCAGTTCTATGGCAGCCAAATATGTATTTGTCACTTCTTCATTGTTGAGGCAAAATATTGAATACCTGTAACATATAGGAAGAGTTTTGTTCCACATCACTGATTCAGTTGAAGATTAGCAGGCTGCAAGGCAAAAATGACATGAAAGAAGAAAGCTTTGCAACTATGACAGCCAGGAAGCAAAGAGATGAGGGGAGATCTGGGGCCAAGGACACAGATTCTCAGGATTCTACAGCAAGCCACCTCCAGTCAGGCTCCATTGGCTAACAGCACATGTAGGTACTAAACTCACCTGGAGACAAATTTACTGATGAACACAGGGTCTCATGATGTAATCACCTTTGAAGCACAAGATTCTGAAGGACACATAACAGAGTTTGTCAGAGCATGGGATGCAAGGGCAGTTGGAGACCCAACTATATATCACAAATTGTTCTGCTATACACATAGGTGCACATATATCACTTTGATATGATGTGTTCAGTTATTTTGGGAAAAATCCCAGTAGGGGAACATCTGGATTGAATGGGACTTCCAGTACTAGTATTTTTAAGGGATCTCCATACTGATATCCATAATGGTTGCACCAGTCCACATTCCCACCAGCAGTGGAGAAGGGTTCCTTTTTCCCTATAGCCTCTCCAACATTTGTTGTTGGTTGATCTCTTTATGATAGCCGTTCTTTCTGGGGTGAGATGGTATCTCAGTGTTGGTTTAATTTGCATTTCCAGGATGGCTAGTGATGTGGAGCATTTTTTCATATATTTATTACCTTCTATAATTTTGTCGTCTGAGAAGTGTGTGTTCATCTCAGATGTCCATTTCTGGACTGAGTGTTTATATTTTGAGGACTTAAATTTTTTTAGCTCTTTATAAATTCTAGAGAGAAGACATTTGTCTGAGTGCTTATTAGTTAAGATATTTTCCAAATTTATGGATGGCCTGTTCACTTTGTTGGTAATTTCTTTTGACGTGCAAAGACATCTCAACAAAAGGAGGTCCCACAAATTAATTCATTCAGGTATTACCCATTCAATTTGATTTTTCTTCATGAAATATTTGCCTAACCCTATACCTTCAAGATTCTCTCCTATTTTCAGTTCCAGGAAGTTTAGTGTTTCTGTTTTAATGTTTAGATCTTTACTCCATTTTCATTTTACATTAGTGCATGGTGATATCTGGGTCAAGTTTTAGTTTTCAGCTGGTAAGAGCCAGTTTTTCAGGCACCATTTGTTAAAGAGGCTATCTTTCTTCCAGTGAGTATGTTTGGCTCCTTTGTCAGAGACAAGGTGGCTGAGTGTGTTCATAGTTGCTTCTGTATCTCCTCATCTAGTCCATTAATCCTCAGGTCTGTATTTTTGCCAATATAATTGAGAATGTGGTTATAAATCGCTGATTTTATCACATTAACTTTGTAGTATAATTTCAAGTTGGAAATTGTGATGCCTCCTACCTTGTCTTTGTTGTCCAGAATTGCCTTTTTTTAATTCCAGGTCTGTTCAGGTTCCAAATAAATTTTAGGAATGATTTCTCTGGGTGTGTGAGGAAAGTTGTTGGTATTTTGATAGGGATTGCATTAAATTAGTACAACAATTTTGGGAGTATGAAAATCTTCACAATGTTGGTTCTTCCTATCCAGGAACAGGGAATATCTTTTCATTTTATGAAATCCTCTACCATCTCTTTTCCAGACTACTGTAATTTTCATTGAATAGATCTTTGACTAATTTAATTAGATTATTTCCAAAGTATTTCATTTTCCACTGTGCTATTGTAAAAAGAATTGTTTCTCTAATTTCCCACTCAGTGTGTGTGTGCTTGTTTTCTATGTAGATGAATGCAATTGACTTTTGGGGATTGACTTTGTATCCTGCCCTACTACTGAAGTGGTGTATTAATTCTAGTAGCTAATGATTCCAGAATTATATTGAATAGGAGAAGTAACAAGGGCATCCTTGTCTTGTACCTGATCTGAGAGTAAAAGATTTCAGGTTTTCTCCATTTAGAATTATGTTAGCAGTTGGGTTGTTAAAGATGGTTTTTATCAGATTGAAGCAGAGGCTGTGTCTTCCAATTTTCTAACAGACTTTGAACATGAATGAGTGTTGGACTTTGTCAAAAGCCTTTTCGGTGTCAATTTAGATTATCATGTGGTTTTTGGATTTGGCTGCACTGATATAGTGTATTACATTTATAGATTTGCGTATGTT